TAGTTTAATTCTGCTTAGTTTCTGAGTTCGGCCCCATTTCGGTTCCGGGAGGTTCTGGGAAGGTCACTTTACTATCAAATGTCTCTTTTACCCTGGTTCATTTTATCACAGGTTTAGAGTGTGTGTCGTGAAAGTGCAATGTGTGCAATTAACAAACACATCTATAACTGGGAACATTTGTCACAAATCTATGTTCTAGAAGGACTAGAACGATGAAATGTGCCACAGTGTCCAGGTTATTCTTATCGTAAACTAGAAAACCACAATTTTATCAATTTTAGACCCAGAAATAGGCCAACTAAACCGATAGTATCACTCTTCTTCTATATGTCTGATGTAGATGCAGAGCAACTACAATTTCATATTCAGGTGGTCTAGCCAGACATCTGTGTCAGGAGCAGTGGAGTATTTGTGGATCGGGCATCGCGTCATTATACGTTGTACGGTCTGTTCTGGATAACCACAGTTGCACACCGCTGGAGAGTTTTTAATTTTCCATTTGTGCATCAGGTATCCGCATCTGCCATGGTTTGTGCAGTGGTTGTGATTTAGGGTGGACCATGAGCTATGTGGAAGATCAAACCCAGGGATCTTCTGCGTTGGGTCTTTCAAAAGGTGTTTGTGAGTTATTTTGAACTACATTATTTCACTCATAGGGCAGTGACAGCCTAACATTCTGAATTGCTTTATGTGACGTGCTAAACTTAAAACATACGTTCCCTGATATCAATAAACAAAGTCGTTCACCTCCCATATAGTATGACGGTCAAGCCAAGAGAAAGTGGGAAAACTCCGCTACCAATTGCTACTCACTCACATATAGCACTACAAACGCTGTGCATGACTGCAACAAAACATCTGTAAAACAAACTAAAATAATGGTTTCCCAATTTCGATTCCTCACAGCCCACCTAAGTTCGTCTTTCCGAGTTCACCCATTGGGTACGTATGCTGAAATATAAATCAAGTCGTTACATGCTACACATGCCGGATGATTGCGAAACACGTCTCACGTAACAACAAATAGCGCTGCGATTAATAATTGTAACCGGCGCTCCCCACGTCACGCGAGATGCACACATCTACACACACACACGGGATCTATATCTTGATTTCAACTTCCCACATTAATAAACACGTGTTGTACAGATGTGAACGAGGCATGTTGTCTGCTTATGTATTTTGTTTCTTATATTCTGCACAACGATGCTAATGATTCGTTTTAGAAGCATGCTTCGAGGTCATTTAGATTAATGTGCTGCTATACATGTCCACGTGATCAGCCACTTCGTCGAGCGCTCATTCGTGGCCAGGTCGCTTCTGAACAAGAAGCTAATAGCTCAGTGGGCTTTACCTGGTCAGATAGAAATAGTTTAGTTTTATTTATATATTTTTTTAAATGATTTGGTTACCTTTCCTACACTTTGCACTCCTATTGTGTTTTTGTATTGTTTTTTTCGTTGTCACGTTATGACCTGTCCGTATTGGAGATCTGTGAAAAGGAGCTTTATAGCTCGTCGGGTTCCTTCAGTATGAATAAATATTCTGATTCTCATAGTTTCCCTGAAAACTCGGACCCAAACGCAAGGGATATTTGCCGATAAACATCTGGCAGGTCACCAGCATTAGTTAAAGCGAGGCTGACTCTGCTGATGAGACACGGAAGGTCGAAACTGGTGCAAAAGTTTACTTGTGTTAAACCAATGCTGCTGGAATTATGCACTCGCAGAAGAAGGCCTTGTGGCTGATGGAAGGTGGAAAAAGGTACTTTTAAATTTTAAGTGGACAGATATGTGGAGGCATATTCGTTTCCGTATTAATGTTGTACCTTGATATACAATCATTGATCACTGCGTGTGATACACGAGTACGATATGTATCTTACAATCATCCGAATCAACCTTGTCTGCATTAAGTGTGAAGCATATACACTGGAAGATCTCTATCTTAATTTAAAACAGCCTTCACTACGTCACTGTGGAACACACACACACACATGCGCGCGCGCACAATATATTTACTTATACTCAGAGCTTCCTTCAGCATACAGCGATGTAGATTTGAAGCTTTCGTGACTGAAAGGATTCATACTCTTTGGTTTTATTCGGTAAAGTCACGTAGATAAAATAAAGCAAAATAGAAGAAAACAATTAAATCACGACGTTTCGGAGGCAACACAAGCTTCCGTCTTCAGGTGGAAACGTCGTGATTTAATTATTTTGTTTTATTTTGTTTTATTGCATCTACGTGACTTTACCGAATAAAACCAAAGAGTATACAGCGATGTAGTTTGTTTCTCGGGGGAAGAAGGTGAATACTGAAAATAACAATAAAGTCAACTCTAAACGCGCACAGTATTCACTCACTGTCGTAGAGACGCGATGGGCCAGAGACAGCAAGGAACGCAGCCACGTGATGAGCCAGAGACAGCAAGGAACGCAGTAGCCACGTGATGAGCCAGAGACAGCAAGGAACGTAGCCACGTGATGAGCCAGAGACAGCAAGGAACGTAGCCACGCGATGGGTCAGAGACAGCAAGGAACGTAGCCACGTGATGGGTCAGAGACAGCAAGGAACATAGCCACGTGATGGGCCAGAGACAGCAAGGAACGTAGCCACGTGATGAGCCAGAGACAGCAAGGAACGCAGCCACGCGATGGGTCAGAGACAGCAACTGGCACAGCTCTGCGGTCCTCTATTTATTCGGGTGTTATCAATGATTGTTTACACGTGGGAGGAAACTGAATTACTCTACCCCTGAGAAAACACACGCGTAATCTGACCGCCGTACAGATGGAACAGGTGTGGAGTCCAGATTCCTGCTGTACCGCCGTCCCCTGGCGAGCCAGGGGGTGTGCGGCTCTTCCTCGTTGCCCACGGGAAGTTGAACGTCAACACCACCACCTCGTGTGGTCCACCAACCATCGCCTCGACAGCACTGGATTACAGGCCACGTGCACAGCCGCCACCACCACCAGGAGTTGCGATCCTTTCGTGCTGGAACTGAATTCGGGAAGTCATCAATCAACCTGAGCGAGCATGAGTTCAAGATCCACAGCCCTCTCCCACGTCCAATGGCGATTCGATTATGCATTGCGATTCGATTCACTATAACGATTGTTATTTCAGTTGTGTTTATCACCTTTGTATTGCTACGCTTCCTAGTATCGCTTGTAGAGTTCGGTATAAATGTGCGTAACAGTCTATACAATTGTTTGCGTAAACAAAATCATTTCCGGGCCTTTGTGAAGCAGCTGCTCTGGATGAACGCCTTGCAATGCTGTGCCAATCGTAGGAGTGTGTTTGACCATACTTCACCACGCCGGTCTCAGTGCGGGCTGGTGAATCGAGGAAAGGGAGTGGAGAGCATGCCCAATACCGCTACATGATGTTACGGCCCAATCCAATGATGGTCGTGAGAGCATAGATGTAGAGTACAATCGAGTTTGCTCCACTGCCCTCTTTTGCCCACCTCGTAGCCCCGGGTAGCCCACAACAGCTGTTACGGGGCATGCTGGTCGACCAGCCACACATTATCTAGTATCCAGGCTCAGCCCTGCTTAGCGTGCGGGGAGTTACGAGGTCAAGGCGCATTCTGGGTGATGTGGTCATCGTCAGGGATTAATTTGCTCACGAGATATTTTCTGGAAGGCTGGTTTGGAGTCGGGATTATCGGGTAACAGGGTACGCCAGTCCATAATAATCCGATATTGTTGTATCCAGAACAAAACAACTATCACGTGGACCTAATAAGTCGAGATGAATGTGTAATTACAGCATGTTGAACTTCTTTCGCACCGTACGTAGCCAACCATGCTAATCGGAGGTGCGGATGTGGTGTGCCAAAATAGTTCCCCGAAACTCGGCACCGGTCAAAATGCAAAGTAATCGACACGGGATGGGAATTCGTGAATCAATGCTTCACCGCTCCAATTTGGTCTTAACAGTAGGTTGTCTTAAACGACTACTATATCTCACAAGATGCATGCGGCCAAGATTACACGTCGATTCATTTACTCAAATAGGGCGGTGAGATGATGGCCTTGCGGTAGCGGGTTCGCCACTTGTTGTTGAGGTTCGCCGCTTGTTGTTGAGGTTCGCCGCTTGTTGTTGAGGTTCGCGGCTCTAATTCCAGCGGCAGCCCTGATTAATACTGCGGGTAAATTAACCGTAGCAATAAAATATCCCACCCATGGCGTGATTTTCCACCGTGTGCCGACGTGATGGCCTAACCTTCTCCAATTTAAAGTCTTTATTTCATGAATCTACTTTTAAAAAAAGCATCACTAAATTCATAAGCCGACAATACACCTTCATCACACACACACACATGTCCTTCCACGGTGGGGGAGGTGAGGGGCGGGCGCGCTGGGGGAGGTGAGGGGCGGGTGACAGGGAGGAGGGGGGATGGAGGTGAGGGGCGGGTGAGCTGGTGGGGGAGGTGAGGGGCGGGTGGGTTGGGGGTGGGGGAGGTGAGGGGCGGGTGAGCTTGTGGGGGTGAGGGGCGGTGAGAGATCGGTGGGTTGGAGGTGGGGGGGGCGAGTGGGTTGGGGGACGTGAGGGGCGGGTGAGCTAAGAGGGCGGGGGGGGGCTGAGTTGGGTGGGGGGGGCTGAGCTGGGTGGGGGGGGGCTGAGCTGGGTGGGGGGGTCTGAGCTGGGTGGGTGGGGGGGGCTGAGCTGGGTGGGTGGGGGGGGGCTGAGCTGGGTGGGGGGGGGCTGAGCTGGGTGGGGGGGTCTGAGCTGGGTGGGTGGGGGGGGCTGAGCTGGGTGGGTGGGGGGGGGGCTGAGCTGGGTGGGGGGGGGCTGAGCTGGGTGGCGGGGGGGCTAAGCTGGGTGGGTGGGGGGCTGAGCTGGGTGGGTGGGGGGGGGCTGAGCTGGGTGGGTGGGGGGGGGGGCTGAGCTGGGTGGGTGGGGGGGGGGCTGAGCTGGGTGGGTGGGGGGGGGCTGAGCTGGGTGGGCGGGGGCTGGCGCGCGCCTATGGGGGCGCGGTGACGTCACGCGGGGTAGTCGCGCGCTCGGCGCGCCGCGTTCGCCTCAGCGGCCGCCCCACGGAGCTCGCAGCTCGCACGGCCGCCTCCTCCGCCTCCTCCTCCTCCTCCCGCTGAGAGAACCCAACACCCCCCCCCCAGCCTCCTCCCTCGAGTCTTCTTCACGCGCGCGCAGCCTTTAACGACAACTACAACAACTTACCGCTACAGCAGCCGCGAGGGAAGGAGGGGATATAACTGCGTGCGCCGCTGTGGTGGTGGTAGTAGTGGTGGTGGTAGTGGTGGTAGTAGTGGTGGTAGTGGCTGTGGTAGTAGTGGTGGTAGTAGTGGTAGTAGTGGTGGTAGTGGCTGTGGTAGTAGTGGTAGTAGTAGTGGTGGTAGTGGTGGGTTGTTGCGTGGGTGGCTGCCTCGAGGTGTGGGTGTGTTGCGAGTGCGGCAGGGAGTAAAGTGCACGCGGGCTCAGGCAGCAGACGGTGAAGGCGGAGAGAGGGCGCCTACCGTCGCTGGGCACTGTCCCCGTGGTTGTTAGCAGTCGTGGTTTGGTTAGTTAGTTGTTGTTTGGTGGTGGTAGTGGTGGTGGTAGTATCGCTGTGTTGTGTTAGCGCTGTAGATGTGTTGTTGGCAGCCCGTGGCACTTCGGCCGCGTTAGCTCCGGGTGCGCCCCGGCACGGTAGTGAAGCGCCACGGCCGAGCTGGACGATTATTGACGCCGACTTGCGGGTAGTAGTGGCGGTGGATCTGATACGAGAGAGACAGAGAGAGACAGACGGAGAGACACAGAGACAGACAGAGACAGAGAGGTAGGCGCTGAAATACTCAGCACGGCCGCGGTAGCAGCCACAGGTAGCAACACGACGCACGAGCTACTGTACACGCTACTGTATGGAACTCTGCGTTAGGTATTAAAAAGTAACGCAGAAACACTTTCGCAGCAGTAACATTAACTATCACACGCAGCGGTAGTTAGCGATTAGTACACACACACACGCGCACACACGCACACAACGGCGGTATCTTTTTTTTTTTAAAGCCGGAGAATGTTTTGTCGGTGAGTTACAACTCTCCACTGTACAAGTAACACGCAGCGATAACTTAACACGCCACGCGCGCCGTAATAACACACAACACTGCTGAGCAAGTGCCGGGGGCTGGTGCAGGTAGGGTCGGATATCGAGCATTCGGCTGGCATCGGAGTATTGTAGAGCAGCGAGCGTGGTACATAGGGCAGAGTGTCGGGTCGAGTTGGTTGAGCGGTCGGTCGGTGCCGTAGGGGTTTTGGAGGTTACTGGGCGGCATGGGTCCCCTGCTGTTACCTTTGCTGCTGCTGCTGCTGAGCCCCCGCTGCTCTCTGCTGCTCTTCGCCATGGAGGCCGCCGCCGCTGCCGCCGCTGCCGCCCCCCCCGCTGCGGCTGCCCCCTGCCCCGGGCCGTGCCGCTGCGACAGCGCCGAGCCGGCAGGGCAGGTCCGCCTCGACTGCTCCGGGCTGGGACTCACGGCCTTGCCCTCGTCAGTGGCGCAGGATGCGGTCTACCTGTGAGTAGACCAACCTCTTTTGAGCACAACTCACCACCACCACACGTTACGGTGTGAGTGATGTTACCCTCACCACCACCACACGTTGCGGTGTGGGCGATGTTACCACCACCACACGTTGCGGTGTGAGTGATGTTACCACCACCATCGCACGTTGTGGGGTGAGTGGTGTTACCCTCACCACCACCACCACACATTGCGGTGTGAGTGATGTTACCCTCACCACCACCACCACCACCACACGTTGCGGTGTGAGTGGTGGTACCCTCACCACCACCACCACACGTGGCGGGGTGAGTGGTGGTACCCTCACCACCACCACACGTTGCGTGGTGAGTGGTGGTACCCTCACCACCACCCTCACCACCACCACCACACGTTGCGTGGTGGTAACCTCTACCCTATCTCCTCCTGACCGCACATCATGGGTTCCATGCATTGACCCATGATGATGGGCACTATCCTCTATTACCTCCCTAACCCTTACCCACAACGACATGGGCTACCTACCTGCGAGTGGTGTTGATGATGATGATTGGGGGGGCAAGGGCAGTAATCCTCGCAATGGAATCGGTTGTTGCTGGTCATCTTGCTAAGTTCATGTCTGGTGCTGCTGGTGCTAACGCCGTAGAAGTCCTGACGTTCAGTTGTGATTCTCAATTACGTCGGGGCTTCTTGCGTGAACTGCGATATTAAGCGATACACGATGCTGACTATTAGTACACTTGGTAGAGACTACCTGGTGGATTTCCTGTGAGTGTCATCCATCGTGCGTGCGTGTGTCCTATACTGTGTGCTGTGTGTCCTATACTGTGTGCTGTGTGTCCTATACTGTGTGCTGTGTGTCCTATACTGTGTGCTGTGTGTCCTATACTGTGTGCTGTGTGTCCTATACTGTGTGCTGTGTGTCCTATACTGTGTGCTGTGTGTCCTATACTGTGTGCTGTGTGTCCTATACTGTATACTGTGTGTCCTATACTGTATACTGTGTGCTGTGTGTCCTATACTGTATACTGTGTGCTGTGTGTCCTATATTGTGTGCTGTGTGTCCTATACTGTGTGCTGTGTGTCCTATACTGTGTGCTGTGTGTCCTATACTGTGTGCTGTGTGTCCTATACTGTGTGCTGTGTGTCCTATACTGTGTGCTGTGTCCTATACTGTGTGCTGTGTGTCCTATACTGTGTGCTGTGTGTCCTATACTGTGTGCTGTGTGTCCTATACTGTGTGCCCTATACTGTGTGCTGTGTGTCCTATACTGTGTGCTGTGTGTCGTATACTGTGTGCCCTATACTGTGTGCTGTGTGTCCTATACTGTGTGCCGTGCCGGCCTTCATAGGTGCTCGCGAACAGCTCTCGCTCCTAGAGTCTGTTCAGGCTTTACGGGGGGGGTCTTTATTGTGTGTGGTAATGTACCGTGTGTATGGTATTGTATAGTGGGTGTGTGTCGTTGTACATGGCATGGGGCAGTGTGTGTTATACATGGTTTTGTAATGTGTACTGTGTATGGTATTGTATAGTTTGTGTGCAGTTGTGTGTGTTGTTAATCTGGTTGTAATGTGGATGTTAAACATAGTTTTGTATTGTTCGGTCAACTTTGTGTGTGTATAGGATGTATACTCTATAGTATTGTATAGTGTGTACATCATTGTGTATATGATGTTATACTGTGTTCACGACTCTTCCTGTTGTACGTGGTATTCTGCGGTGCTTGATATAACTTTGTATTACAGATATTATTGTGTATTCACTGCCTGTTGTATTTGATACTGTATTGTAGTAATACTAACTACATCACGTACTTTCATATTCAACCGTAACACGTGGGAATACACGCAAATATGCCTCCAGTGCATATACATGTCTTCGCATGTTATGGCTGTGTTTATATTATGTAAATATACCACGATCATGGTACACATGTCATTGCAATAAGGTTTTACATATGTGGGTTTTGTTTTATTGTGTAAGCGATTATGCCCCCTTACATATTTCGTACACATGAGTTTCACATCTCATTGTGTTGTACACACACCACAGACTGTAATTATGTATACTCACACGAGTGCGTTGTTTTGCGCTTGTTAATTCAGTAATTTGCTCATGCGTGCGTGTGTGTCGGCGCCCCAGCCTACAATGGGGGTGTTGATTTAATGTTTTTTTTTCGTTAACAAGGTTTGTGTACGTAGTGGGGAAATTTTAATGCTTTTAAAATACGTCTGGTTGTATGCCTTATACAGTACGTATCACCGTCGCCAATACTTGCCTGGCAGATTATTGAATTCGGCTCGACAATAAATGTCAATCATGTGGTCGTAGCATTGTTATTAGTCATTACACACATCACCTCCGCCTTTGTTATCCTTACAATGTCCATATTGTGTACACATGCACAGGTGCGTCCTCGTGACATTGTCTAACGAGCTGCCAGTATTGTTCCGCCCATTTATATTTTAATGATGACAAGCCATGCAGTAAATTAATAATTAAAGTGGAACATACACGTGCTTAAATTGGAAAACACTCTTTTCACACCCAGCTTTGTGCATGCAGCTAACCAAATAATAGACAGCTGTGTTTTTTTGTTGTATTTTCCAGCATGAATTGTGGGGTAGTAATTGATGCACATTTGCCACTGAATAGGGGGAGGCTGTACAACATTAACCCAGTAGCTGCTTGTAGTCATGCAGCGAACATGCAAGCTGCCCCCGGAGGGTTTTCAGATCTGAGCTCAAGCTCCGCATGCACGCACGGTATAATTTAAAGCAGAATATTTTTTTTCATTTTGTACTCTTGCTGTGTCGAATTAAAATGTTTATTGGCGCAGCGTTTTGCAAGACCTCGAGCGAATGACCTCCTCAAAAGTCAAAATCACCCCCATTAAAGTCTGTACTTTACGTCTTGTTTTACAGCGATGCAGAAAAATGCCAACACAAGTTAATCGGTGGCCTAGAGAATGGGAAGGCTGACAATGCAAAGTGTTTTGAGGGCATTTTGTAAGGGGTAAGAAGACGAACAGCGATACATGTTTCTCTTGCCACATTTTATCTGATTTGTTTCTTACATTGGTCCTCATTGGCTACTTTTGTAAACCTTCTGGAATGAGTTTGCTGATATAACTCAGGGGACGAATGAAAATATCACATTGAAAGTAGAAAACGAACAAATGTAGGGGTGATCAATAGATTTGCATTATTTTGGTACTTAGAGAAAAATATGATTGTTGCAGTATGTGTGTGTTTTTTCCTAGCGTGTGCAAGGTTTTACCTTGTGTATGCATGCACTGTATTGTGTACAAATCGAGAAATCCGTTTGCCAAGCTGTTGTGTTCGCACCCAGTTGTGCATGCATGCTGTGAGAATTCAAAAAGAACATTGGCCAGCTCTTTAAATGCTAATGCAGTTGAGTTGAAATGCGTCCGTGTTGTTGCTGTGCAGTGGGAATTGCTTTGGCTTGCTGTCAAAGCCAGCCTTTCAAAAAAGTAAAAATATAAAGATTTAATAAAATTCATAACAAGAACAAATTCTGGCCTTCAACAGAATTAATTCCTATCGTTGCCTTCTGTGCCTTGTTAACCCGAGATAGAACAACGTGCACATTTATAGATCGCACTTTCAGTCAATACTTGCTGAGGGGTTGGAGTAAAAAAAGCATGTCTAATGGATTCACATCACTCTGCAATAACGGCGTAACATATCAATGCACTGCCTGTACTATGTGTCATATTAAGAACCAGCACTTGTCAGAGTGTGACAAGTTGACCCGCATTGGGCCGTATTCAATTCTCGCAGGTCCTGCCATCAATATGCGTGCGAGTGATGCCACGGACGGCTCATCACAGTGAATCGGCCATTAGCATTGATTTTTTTTTATTGCTACCGCGAACATTATTCGTCTATTTTAAATACTGGTCGACGTTGCCAAGTGCAGAATTGCACGTTTCTCTTGCAACAAAGGCTATGTATGAGCTTTTTTTGTGAGACAGCGACATCTGGAACTTATGTTTAAAGAATAATATGCTTTTCATTGTTTTGTTCCTGGCAAAAAGGGTCCCATAGATATTATGTTAAAAGATAGCATGTAGGTTGCCCATGAATCGGCATATAATTGCATTGCTTTATTTCAAAGTTAAATGAGGTACGTGTCCTGTTTTAATTAAATCGCATTTAGTTGTTTTTTTTGTTTCACATCAACATTGTAACTTTTACACATTTTACACCCATATACGTGATCAGTTTGTGAGTGGAATGGTGGCGCAGTGGTTAGTTCTCTGCTCTATAAACCTAGAAACCTGAGTTTGCTTCCCAGCCACAGAATACGTCAGGTGGTGATTGTCTGGTCCCCTTCACCAAGCCGCGTGAACCAGTGGTGAAGTATGATAAAAAATTCCCATGACTTTATGCTGTGTGTGGAGGCCTTTATTTAGCAGTGGGTTGACAAATGGCTGTAAATTGCAATTGTTATTCTTGCCCAGAATATGTTTTGTGGGTATATGTACACGTGCTGGTCTGTTGTGCACATGTTGCTCAAATTACACTATAAATCGGCCCAGTGAAATTGCTCACCCCATTGAGAGCATGGATAACCAGCCCAGATTTCCTGCTGTCTGTTGCACACATTTGCAGACGGTCCACGGTGTCTGGTGAACCCTGTCTGGTGAGAGTCCTGGGGGTGTTCATACATCCTGCCTTTACCTTTGTAAAGTGTGGGGCATTGTTATCCATAGGTACAAATCGAGCACCGTTTCACAAGTCTGTTTAGGAACCTTTACTTATTCTTGCGTACAACTGCTCGGCACAGGCGTCCGTATTGTGCGCGTTTATGCACAAGAAAAGTATCGTGTTTGGAAAATCTGCCTCATTTAGCAGGCAGGGTGGATAAATGTCAGTTGTTGAGATACTTTACAGGAGTGTGTTCCTGACATGAGCACACAATAGCTTCCTCTTATTGCCAACAGTGGCATGAAGTCTTCATTGTCTGAAGGCAGCAAATTGCCGTGACG